GCAAACCACAATGAGACCAATATGAATTCCACAGCTAAAATTACGTCCAGACACTAGTGCAAAAAGATATGGTGAAGAAGAAAGAAGAAGAAGAAGAAGAAGAAGAAGAAGAAGAAGAAGAAGAAGAAGAAGAAGAAGAAAAGAAGAAAGAAGAAAGAAGAAGAAGAAGAAGAAGAAGAAGAAGAAGAAGAGAAGAAGAAGAAGAAGAAGAAGAAAGAAGAAGAAGAAGAAGAAGAAGAAGAAGAAGAAGAAGAAAAGAAGAAGAAGAAGAAGAAGAAGAAGAAGAAGAAGAAGAAAGAAGAAGAAGAAGAAGAAGAAGAAGAAGAAGAAGAAGAGGAGGGAAGAAGAAGAAGAAGAAGAAGAAGAAGAAGAAGAAGAAGAAGAAGAAGAAGAAGAAGAAGAAGAAGAAGAAGAAGAAGAAGAACTACTCAAGATTTAAAGAGATATTGAAGAACTACTCAAGATTTAAAGAGATATTAAAGAACTGTGAGGTAGTGGTTGTAACATGGGACTGTAACAATGATTTTAACTCATGACTTTGTTCCCTTGCTCTTCCTGACCGCTCATCTCTGTTGTTACATGTCAGGGGTGGGCAGCATTTTCCTCCTGCGGGCCACGAGGATTTAGATAAAGCAAAAAAGCCATAAACTGGATGAATCAAAATGTAGGTAAAGGTTACACTGAAAATGTTATTAACGTTACAATAACCCAAATGCTATTTTGACAGTTAAATTGCCCTACATCTTGCCAACTATCTCATGCACTACTGAACAGGTCACATATAAAACACATTGCACTGGAATCAAACTACCAGCAGCAGAGTCTCTGCAGTAATCTCCCTAGAGATTGCTCAGTATAATGTTGCCTTGAGCATAATGCTAGGGGTTATTTTGATCCTTTTTCAGTATGTGTGAGACGGTCTAGTTCTAGCACAATGATGCACACATATTCACACACAGCTTAAAAAGAGAATTTCCAACAGAGGGAAGGTTCACTCAGTCAGAAAATAGACTATAAGCCTAATAATAATTAATTTAAAAAAAATCACCTGAGGCAATAATTTGCGCTCCTCATTCTACAAAACGAAGAGCTTGATGTATAAAACACCATGTATCATTTGAGACATGTTATATTAATTTATCTTGTCAGGTGTAAGAGAACGTGTTGGGGTAGTCAATCAATATTGTAAAAAAAAAACTGCCTAAGTTATCCAGTAACAATCCATATACAACAACGTATGCAAGTACTTTTAATCAAGCATCATATTTAATTAAATGTGTTCTTCTTATCAAGCTTTATTCTATTAAAATTTAAAGGAAAATGGTGTACTTAGTAGGGCATGACAATTATCTAACAGCTCTAGTTACAAGTAAAATTATTTATACAATAAAAGTAAGAAAAATTCATAAAATGTAATGATTGGATATAAATTAAACAACTACATGAGTTAAACTAAAAATAATTATTCTATTAGTTATCTGAAAAAAATGGGATAACTGTTTGAGCCCTTGTCTAAAGGAAAACATAGTTTTAGATTTGTCACTTTTCATTTTTAGTTTAATTTTTAAAAAAGTAAAAAAATCGATACATTATCTAAAAGATCCATAAAAATGATCCTATAGTCCTGTATGAAACATTTGCTCCAACTCAACTAAATACAACAACAATATTCGGCTTTCACTTTATCTCACGATTAACAATAATTTATTGATCTAATCATTGGTGTAATATGCATGAACCTTGGACTTTTAGTGATATTTACCGATGCCTCCCCCTTAATGAACCCATTTTTAATGCAGGACTTGAGAGTATTTATAGTGCTTCAGGAAACACTCTGAACCCCTCTCTCATCTGTGGTATCATTTGCTAAAATGATGAATGCTTTAAATATTTACTTTGGAAACATGATACACAAACACTAACTATAAACAGCAAACGTTACACATAACAATTTTTTCCTTCTCGAGAATAGCACACAGTTGGACAAATACCTTTTTTCTCTGGTAATGTGCTTTGGACGTGTTGAAAAATGTACAACAGTAGTATGTGCTATGTACAGACAGGCTCTGACCTGCTGGATCGACTAAGTTTGAATAACTGGTGAAAAATTATTGTATGATTTGGCTCTCATCCAAATACAGAAGCATCAGAGTCTCTGGCAGAGTTCTAGGAGTATATCCGTAACACTTCTCTGTGCCTTGGGGACAGTTTAACAGTTTGTGCAGTAGCTTTGTGTGAGATATCTTCTGATTAATTTGGTGTCAGAGTCTTTTTCTTCACAGAAATGTAATAAGTATTAAGTTTACTTTATATTAATTTAGTCTAGTCTAGCAAATAGCCAACGAAAACTGTTTGAGACAAAAGAAAGTACGCAGATTTTGATGAGACAAAGAGAACACGGAAAACTGCAATTAAAGAAACACAGAGCTTTAAGTGGTGCTATAACAACCATCCAAACACAGACCAAACTCAATTTGTTAGAGCCAACATTTCCCATATGAGCTAAAAATAATAATAATAATAATATCCATCTTGGCCTGCCATTGTTGTTGTCTTTTTGGCCTTCCCATATGGAAAAGAAATAGAAATGACTTATGCCAAACATTTGGGATTTTTTTTTTTTTTATGTCTTATAACATTTACTTGTCTCTTTCAAAAATTTCTAATGTAATTATCAGAATTAAGTATTTAAAAAAAAGGTTTCTGTGTTTTTCTATTCCATGTGTATTACCATGGAGAAGCAACTGAAAACAGCAATGAATGTATGAAACATGTCGTAAAATACAATCTGGTATTTAACTCTAAAGCGCTCCTGTTGTAACTTTCAATCATGCAGCTTCAATCTCCAAAATAACTCAGCAAAGTGGCAATAATGTTATGTATTTCAGAGGTAACACATTACCCACTATCACACCAGCACGATTGACATTTCCTCTCCAATAAAATGCCAGAAATAGTATACATTATAATGCGTTTTAACAGGAAACAATGCATGGATATCCAAAATAGATATAGAGTGAATGGCAATAAAAATATCATTATTATCATCACCAATCTGGGTTTTAGGCCAGTTACTGGTCAGGTCAGGTATGGAAATGTTACTTCCATACTTGACCTGACCTTGCAGTACTCTCTGCTCATCTATAGAGCATAGTAGTTGGTTGGCTCCTGGGTCCAACTGGGCTTTTAAAAGCAGAGCAGCAGCAGAGCAAACTAAATCACTGAGTAATTTGGTATTTTGATCTGTTGCTCGCGTTAAAAAATAGATGAGTAGAAAGTTTTAAAATTTTATGTTGAGTGGGACTTAATATCCTGAGCAAACCACTGAATATCAATAGCTATGACACGTGACTCTAGAAGACAAAGATCAAGTTAGAGGATGACATTTATGTCAGCAGGACTAATCCTGTGGGGATCAATACAATCTCCATCAGAAAAAGTCTTATTATTGAAATGCTTGACACCACTAATACAGTTGACTTCACAAACATTGTGCTACTGATTTGATTTTTAATGTATTCTTCTTAAAGATTTTAGGTTAGTTTTTTTTTTTTTTTTTATCAATTAGTTATTGCAGCATTTTGACAAGCTACAGGGTATCATGTGGGTCAAGCAGAGTGCATCAAACCAGCTGACTATCAGCTGATCCAAAGAGGTACCAATGATGACTGACACTTCAAACAGTCTGTTCAAGCAGCCAACTTCCCCGCGATTCCTTCCTGCTCCATGCTGTTGCTACTTATGATTGGATCTGCTGCTTTTCCCCTCTACCAGCCCTGCCTCTTTCTACTGTGGTCTTTTTTTATCAATATAGTTGCAATGATATCTCTTGTTTTAGAGATTATGTATATTCCATATGTCAGGTATATATCTTCAAGGTCCTGTAACCTCCAGGAGGGGAGGGAAAACCTTCAGCGTCAACTGCAAACATTTATAAATTCCCACAATAATATGAAATTCCAATCATGGCTCTGATTAAATTAAATTATCCAGATGTTTTCACATTATATCTTGGCTTGTAGCTGGGGGGATGTCCTGTTCAGAAGCCTGGACCAGCTGAGAAAATCTCAGTGGAGAAAGAGATGCAGAACAAAATCTCCTTTTCCGGAAAAACTTCTTATGAGTTTCAGTTTTTAAATAATAAGCCAGAACATGAGAAACTGGAACATAAATGGGCATTTGCAGATTAATCATTTTTTGATTCAGACACGCAAAACACAATTTATTTTTGATGATTCAACAGTACTCATGTGAAGGATGACAATGCCGATGAATAGTGTGCGTTAGCAGTGAAATGTGAGATCAGAAGGCTTTCTGTCTTGATTAAATCTTAATGTCGCAAAGACTGTTGCTGGATTACAGTTCATGGGAAAGACACTGGGTTAAAAGAGTAAGGTCAGCACAACCAATTGCAATTGAGCCGTGTTTTAAACAGTTTTCTTGGAGTTAAACCCTGATCAAACAACAGTCACAGTGAATCCAGCACAATGAATACATACCTAACTATAAGCCCACACAGCAACAGCGTCCTGTTTCCAGTAGGGTAATTTTTTTTATTTTTGCTGCTTTGCGTCACAGATACTGTACAGCCATGATTCTTATGCTGTGCTGCCCTCTGGTGCTCAAAGCCATCTTTACACCAGTGCTACCGCCTAAGTGTGTAAAGGTTTACTTATATTATAAATGTTTTACACTCCATCTGTACATTTGAATCACTGCTGCTTTACCCAAAAAAGAGGTCATGAAGAGAAAGTGAAGCTCCACTCTAAGGTCATGAAGGATGCAGCAGAAATGCAGCATGAAAACATACAGAGCTTGATGATGACATATTATGTTTGATACAAGTGAGAACAGTTAGAACAAAATGTTGCCCATCTAAGCAAAGCCCTGCAGGATCTTGTAAATAGATGTAATCATGTAGCATGTAGCATTACAATAAATAATACAAAATCCTTCTCTTTTCTACAGTATGTCAGAAAAAGGGTCAGTGTGTGGCCTACCGTACACTTTCCTGCCACACAGAGAGAAGTTTCATTCTGTCCACATGGCGTCCCGTCGATCACCCTTTCTGACTGTCGCACGTAGAACCTGAACCCTATGGCCCGGCAGTTGAGTTCACACTGCTGCTCAATAGGAACTGTAAACAGATTTAGGTATCATGATATAAAGACATATTTCAAGATATGAAAATATGCTGGTTTCACAATACACACAAACAAAAGTAAATAAAAAAAAAACATCAACACATCACTGATGAATGTGCTGACATCCATCTTTAAATATGTGTAAAAAATGTTGACACTATCATTGTGTGAATGAAATAAACGTAGGTTTTACCATTAAATGTATTATTTTGTAACTACATGAAATCCAGCTGGATTTAAAGACTGAATCCACATTGAAATAAATTGCATATGCATATATGATACATGGGGAGTAACTGTACTTTGATCATATATTTAAATTTGCTAATCTTTTCAAGCACATATCCTTTTGGACACTTTCCAGGCACCATCCTGACCAGGCATATTAAACTTGAGCAGAGGACAAATCAGCCATCCTCTCTGACGTTGTCCTCTTCCCCAGAGGAGTTCCAACTGTTAAGCTGCAGTTTTGATAAAATGGAGAATATCTAATGAACACTGCATTTGCACAAGTGGTCAAAATAGGACTTAAATCAAAAATAGCAGGCACTTTGGAAGCAGCTTAAAGGGGAGGTCATTTCTAAATCAACCATATCTAAATCAAGTGCTGTTTTTGCCTTTTATGGTCATATTCACCAAGTTTTTTAAATCATAAGAGTTGTTATGGTCATAACAATATAATGTTTAAGCGCATAATTTACCAAAACATTAGAGTTCTGTGAAAAAAAAACAAGTGTTACAGTTTTACCCTGTGGCTGTATTCTGAAAAGAACTAAAACAGCACTGGACTGGCCTTGGCTGCTGTTTTAAAACTAAAAGGAGAAATTCTCTCTCTTTAAAATGTTAAACATGTTCTACAAAAAAAGATCTTTAATATTGACAAAGGATTAGGTTTGATGCAATAAAAGCTGCAAAGTCTAACCTCTGCTTTCCTTTATTCGTGTGCTTTACCAATTAGATATGCTACAAGCCCAAAAGCCAGGCATTTCTTAAACAGATGTACAAGAGTATGTTTAAGCACTGCTCAAGATGGGTGTCAAATGACCCAGACTTAACCTCGTATGTGTACCTGAGGTTATTTAATCTTTATATCTGTCTTATCCATCAGTTAAGGCCACAGCACACAGACAAGATCTCACAATACACATCTGTTTGACAGGATATTAACTCTGGAGGCTGGTATTTCCATTAGCTCAGACAAATGACAGATAGTCAGTTGTTTTGACTGTTGCCTGGATACTTCAGGTGAGTACGTTAAATGAGTTCATACGTATGAACATTCATCAGTAAGCCTACGGACAGGTGGCATACCGTAGTCCTTACATCAAGCTACACATCAGTTTAAATACGTCATGGGTCAGGCAGCTGAAGGTGTGAAATGTGTGACCTCAGGGTTAGGTGAAGCTCCTGACTTTGAGCAGCATTTATTACTTCTTCAGCAACACTTTACAGGTATTTAGTCATCTCTGTGTTTTAAACTGAGGTTTAGGTTTTCTTTTTTTTTGCCTGTCCTGTTTGGATCTTTAGCCATCAGAATTGTTGTCTGAAGGCCAAGAAAGATGCCAAGCGGCTTTACTTTACCATTTGGATCATCATGGCCTTGCCATATTGGTCCATATGATTGACCTTTATTGTAATTATGTATTTATTTGATTTGATTTTTGGTTGTTACAGACGGGACAGACATGACTGGGGGAAAGGACAGGGAGAAAAAAATGAAAGAAAGAGAGGGAGAGAAAGAAAAATAGAGGGGAGAAGAAATGGTGAGAAAGGGGGGAAGAAAAGAGGGGAAAAAACACCTGGATCACCTGTGTGGAGATAAGAAAAAAAACAGAAGAGAAAACAAACAAGAAAGAGCAACATAATAAATACAACACCATCACAATAAACTAGCTAACAGTAGATAACAGTAGATACTAAATATTACATGTTATTGTGCAGTACGCAAGATCGACAGATGTGCTTTGAGGTAGCAGCCAAGAAAGATGTAGTTTGTGTCTGTGAGCACCCGTGTGTACACCTGTGTGGATCAGCACGCTTGTATTCAAAAGGTTTCTCCATGTAACAATCTACTAGGGAGTGTGGGGAGCCATAGCCCCGTCCCCCAGGGCATGAGGCAGGTATTGAGGAGATCCAGGTCCCAGACATCCAGAGGCCCCAGACTACGAGGACCCAAGGAGGACCACCAGGGGGGCAACCGTGCCACCCTCCTGGGAAGAGCTGAGGAGAGCCCCAAACGAGAGGTCACCCAGCAGCCACGGAGCAGAGGCCAGAGGGGGTTGCAGGGATGTGCCCGCGGGCTCTGCTGGCAGCCAGCTGTGCCAGAGAGGACCGAGCTTCAGGCCCAGAGGCCAGAGGCCTGAGGGCACCCCACCCCCCGGAAGGGGCCCAGCCGGGGCACAGGCGCCAGGCCCCGCCAATCGGTCACCAGGAGTGAGCCGGTACATACATGAGCCCCCAGCCCCAGACACAAAGAACCACCAACACACCAACGTCTGAGGACATCAGCCACTGGCAGGGAGTGTGGAGAGGGGAGATAGGTCTCCATACCTCGGAGAGCCAGAGATGTTCCCAGAGAGGTGGAGTCTAAGACCCAAGCTGACATACAGACACAGACGAACAGGCGCAAACAGACACAAACGTGCATTCCCACCCCCATATACACAAACAAATACTGAGCACTCACCCGACGTGGAGACAGACACAAATAGACACTGTAAACACATTCACACTCCCCAAACATACTCTTTATCCCAGGTCCGGGTACCCCTGCCCCCAGAGGGGCAAACCGTACTCAGTCCCAGGAGATGTAACCCTTCTCTCTGGGGTGGAGGAAAGCAGACTGCCTCCTTATCTGCAGTAGCAGGAAGGCCCCAAAACCCAGACCCCAATCCGACGGCCAGCACCTCCTCCCAGCCCCTCAGCCCTGACGGTTCAAAGAACAGGGGTGAGTGAAGACCCCAAACCTCCCTCCGCCCGCTCATATGTAGTGTTGCTGGGTGTTGTTCTAAAGTGCATTTAAAACACAGGAGGGCATGGTGCTTCCTGCCAGAGAGCAGCAGGCTCCTCCCGAAAACCCTCAGTGCATTTAAAATTGAGGGTAGGGCACCAGCACCAGAGGTGGGTTTGAATACACAGACCATCCTGTGGATGCTGTATAACGTGTCCACCCCCAAGGCCCTATATGTATGTGTTATGAGAGTATGAGTAATGCAGATGTCTAGGTTGTGGATGGTGTAACACAGTGTGAACATGCAGTTAACTGTGAAATGTGTGACCTCAGGGGGTTAGGTGAAGCTACTGACTTTGAGCAGCATTTATTACTTCTTCAACAACACTTTACAGGTATTCAGTCATTTGTGTATGTGACATACATACACAAAAGAAGCAAAAAATAATCCTAATATTGACAGCGCTAAACCCCTGCTTTAGTTTTTACGGGGGATTAATTGAGTACTGTCAGTCTCAAAGTCTGCAACGTTTGTCTCTGTCAAGAGATTTCATGGCTCAAGCCTTTTGACTTAATCATGTCGCCCTCAGGATGAACTGTTAGCGGCCTCTCAGCTTTTCATCAAGTGGCATCATTAACTCAAAAATTTTAATAGTAAAAAGTCAGACTTAGTATTAGAATATTTTTATCTACCTGCAAATTAGGAGAGTGTAAGGGCAAGACCATTACAGTGACGGTACCCCAAATCAATACTGACTTCAAAATTGACATATGTGAGGAAATTTTTCCCTTTCTGCCCTTTTTGCTCAGTTAAAGACAGTAGAGACACAGTGTCCTTGTTATATGCTATCTGTTATTCTGGGGTAAATATGCACTTAATTCTAAAATAAAGTTAAAATGAATTAAATTTTTGTAGCTCTGGCTCTATATACCACTACAATAGATTTTAAAATCAAATCAGTTACATGACAATGAAGCCATGAGCTTTGAGCTTTATTTCAAGGGGTTTAACAAAAACTCTGCATTAACTGTTTAAGAATTTTATACACATTTTCAGAGGCTAAAAAACTAACTGGACAGGTGACTAACAAACAGTTTCGTGGCCAGGTGAGGCTTTTTTCATTTTATTTTATCGCAAATGTAGGAAACATAATGTCTGACATTGATCCAAAGTTTTGAATTAGTGTTTTATAGGATTCCACTGTAATTTTAAATATGAGGCCCACACAGATGCCAGTGCAAGTGAAGGTGCCATCATGAGATTGAAAGAGCAAAATAAGCCTCAGAGAGAGAACAAAAAACTGTAGGACTAGCCAGATCAAAAATCTGGTATATTGTTAAAAAGAAGGAGTGCTTTGGCCAACTCAGTACTAAAGAACACAATGACCATTATTTTCATGGTTAAGAAAAATTATTTTACAACTAGTCAATACTGCAAGAGTTTCTCAAGGTAAATAAATGGGATCAGTCACCTGATCTCAATCCAACAGAGTATGCTTTTCAGTTATGAAATATAAAAAAGTAGCAACTGAGGGCAGCTGCAGAAAAGGCCTGGCAAAGAATCTCCAAAAGGGAAACACAGCATTTCATGATGTCCATGGGCTCTAGGGTAACACAAAGTTATGTGACAACTCTGAATTAAAGCAGAAACTCTACATTTTGATCATATATTGACTGTCTGATTGACTGTCAACTATGGTGGTGTACAGAGGCAAAACTACAAGAAATTTTGTCTTTGTCCCGCAGATTATGAACCTAACCATATATACAGTTTATGTATGCTCACACTGCTCATAAATGTAACCTACCCTCATTAAAAGGTTCCCACTCGTACAGTCTGCCCATGAAAGGCTGGTTGTTGTAAGATGAACACTGGACAGCCCGGATGTGCCTGCTGGATGGGGGACAGGCCTGTGGAAGGACCAGTGAAATACAAACATGCATTTATTTTCCATGAAAACACCAAGTCCGACAGGTAAATCCCTTTGTAACTACAACCGCGTCTCACTGTCACGCTCTGTAGCCACTGATTTACTGATTGCTACAGTGAGCCTTCACTGTTTTAACTGTTTCCACTCCTCCACTTGTAGCGCTGTCTTTTTAACAAAAGCACTTAGATTCCAAGCATATATGAAGGCTCCAGAGTGAAACCCAACCTCCTTTAAGTCTTCATACATTATATCATTTGTCTAAACAAGACTGGTCTGCTTTACTTTACTTGAATATCTGTCATCACACAACATAGAGATAATGTGCAGAACCAGAGGTTGTTTCAATTCATTTTAATGCACAGAATCAATTCAATAACCTAGAAGATTATCCACATACTCATGCATTTAAGATGGTGTTAAACTCGTGAAGGTGCTGTATGAGTTATTAAGATTATGGGTTTTTCCCTAGTAATTTAAATAAGGTTTAATGTTTGATTCAAACACACAGACAAGTGCAGCTCTCTGGTGAGCTCTGCTATAAAACATCCACTCATAAGTTCAGTATCTCAATCAAAAACTTTACAAAAATAGATTCTGAGATGGTTTTGAAGATTGGTTTCAAGTTTGAGCGGTGGCCATGTGGCTCTGGAAAAGTATAAACTATTCACACCCAAAGCTAATGAGTCCACTACAGTGCAATAAATAGCATAGGCTTTCTAGTTTCTAATTAATATTAGGTGTTCTTGTTCAATTCTTCAACTCAGTCAATGACAATTTGACTAATAAACTCTAAACACATTTGAACCAGGTCTAATTATCCAAATTAAACTGTTATGGTAGTAGAGGACACATCTACTACATGTCTAAACAGTATAGGGCTTCAAAGTTAAAACTAATGGTTTATAATTTGAATGCTAGCTTTTCCTTTGCACACACAAACAAAAGGAGCATTAAAAATAATGAAATCCAGATTACTAACAAACCAGTCTGAGAATACAAACAAAACGCAGACTTGCATACATTACTGTTGCAGATCCTGTAGCGAGCATGCTCCCCAGCACAGAAGGAAGAAGGCAGAGGGTTGTAAGGTCTCACTTGATGCTGCTTAGGATTGGACATGTGGCTGCCTGTATGGTGCTCCTGTTGGACCTCAGCCTTGTTGGCTGAACTAGGCTGGTAAAGGGGAGCCCAGACTTGGTTATTTCTGGGATGCTGTGTCCTGGCATTAATGTCGGGTCTGCTGTAGAGATGGAGATTGCTGGAAGCATTAGGGTTGTTTAACCTGTGGCTACCATGGCCTCTAGCTGTGGGGTGGTGGGAATTAGCTGCAGCAGAGCGTCTGTGTCTGTGTGGGCGAGGGATCTTAGAGCCCTGGCCTGTATCCGTCTGCAGTGAAGTAACATAGGGCGCCCTTCCATAGCCATACTTCCCTGGGATAATGTTTGTTACCCTCCTGAAAACACAAACATATTAACACTTAGTGTGCAAGTGTAGTTATCACTTCATCTCTAGGCTACACATGTCCCTATCGAATACCACAGAACTGAATCCAGTCTGCTACCGTATTTCTACCGACAATGTTTTAAACTTGAATCAATATCTTTTTTTATTGGAAAGGTTTAGGTTTAGCTAAATGCCATCTTTTATTGAAGAAAATGTCAAGGCCCGTCTTCTGAACTACAACTTTTGTGATGCACCAGGATCTCATGGGCAGAATTCTGGGAGCTTTTGTTGTTATTTGGCTCCTTCGATTCCAACTCAAACAACCCCCCATTACTCAGCTGTCAGTGCTATTTGTTTAAAGGCAACCACAACAGGAAGGAGGTCACAAAGCTGCCAAGCACAAGCCGGGCTTTTGATTCCAACCATAAAAGACTAGTTTCCACTGCAGGGCAGTCAGATGTGCCCACAATGATGGCTCCAAACAGTCACTTTTAGGCTGCGCTGCTCAGCATGCAGCACAGCCATACATGACTCACTGAAAAAGCACAGAAGCTGAAATACTTTTATTTAAAAAAGGCTCATTGTGCCTTATAACACATCAACATAGTCGCATAAAATGCATAGATATAGAAATATGAATTGCAATATTTGTTCAAATGTTAAACATTTTGTAATTTTCAGATAAAAAGTTTAGTAGTTTAAGTAGCCGCAGGGTCATGAATTCTGACAGTAACCTGGTCATAAGTCATAGCAGACTGCCCTTTTAACTAGTGTGTGGTTGTGGAAAAGGGGGTAGGGGAGGTTGTATACAGAAGACGCAGAGGGGAAAGGATGATGTTCATTTCGAATAATGGTCTTGACCGATAACGTTGCCAAACAGTTATGAGTTGACTGAAATTAAGTAAAACATCCTCATTCACTCCAACATATTTACATAGTGTGTCTAACCATCAGTGTCACAGAGTATGTCACAGTCAAGCAAGATGAAATATGGAAAAAAAATTTTGACATTGTACTTTTTGTCAGGATAGCTCAACCTGTGCCAGATGCTACATTAGTCATCTTCCACCATGACACGCTATATGGACTAAAAGCAGTAATTGCTGGGCCCAACTTCTTTTCATTTGCAATCCCCCTGTCTGTTGGGTCAGATTGCTATTGTGCTGGCAATCCTACAATTAATCCCATATCTCTGTGCAGAATAATATCTGCTAAAAGTGTGTACCTGCGCCCACCAGGCCTGTTCTCCTTCTCTTTTCTCAGCTCTCCACGGCTGCTGCTGTTGTAGGGTCTGACTGTGCTGCGGTGCAGAGGAACTGTAGGCCGAAGAGCTGAAACTATATGGCCTGGTTGATGAGGCTGAACACCAGCCCCTCTGGAGGGGTACTGAGATGGAGCGTACACGGGTAGGCACGGCCTAGTCTGTTCTTGTACTCCTTTTCCACAGGTCCGGGAGCAAGCTGACCAGGGACCCCAGACACCCCAAGATCCCTGAATTTCTCCATGCTCTGCCCTAACTTCCTCGTGGTGCTCTGCCCTCTGAGGAACCTGCATGGAAATGAAACATCAATTAAGGGCATCACAAAGTGCAAAGAAGTGGAAAAGTGCTGCAAGATCTGAATGTCAAAGATTTGTGGAAAGCCTCAGCAAGACTTTAATCTTTAAAGATAATGGCTTTGAATAAAAGCTTACATTGGGGACCTCATCACATCACCACAACTATCCTGCCTCTCTGCCCCCCACCAGTGCTCATGAAATAGACCTCTGTTCATGGGAATAAAGGCCTGATTTGGCTGATTAGTGGGTGTCTGTTTGTGGTCTATCCCCTATTGGCTACCTGTGCTTCTCACTATTGACTGTGTCGCTGTGCCAGGGACATATTAGCAGCGATCACTCTCTGCTCTCTGTTTGAGGAATTTGCCAGCAGGAGTCCTTTTCCAAGCTGCCTTTATCCGCAAAGTTGCGTGGAAATCCTGTCTTTAAGGAGTGCTTTGTCACCTTTCACAACAACCTCTCTGGGCAAACACATGGCTGTAGTAAAAGCTCAGCTGCCTTTGACTTTTAATGGATGGAAAGAGAATACAAAAGCAGTAGGGAGAGTTGGCAGGGAGCTTCTTCTGCTGTCAGTCAGCCTGTGCAGCTATTCAGGGAAGCCCTGGACCACCCCTCCGCCTCTTCTGCAGCTTCGGCTTTTGTAACCCAAAGCCACTGTCATCTCTGGGTCACCCAAAGGTCACACAGCTGGACCCCCAGTAGAAACACACGGAGGCAATTCACACACACACCCTTCTTTCTGACAGTTCTGTTGGTCAGCCATCTTCCATTACTTGTGTCTCTGCAGGGGTCAAGAGGTGGATTGCTGACAACTAAAATCAGCCCTCTTTGTTTGGCTAAGGCCGACAGATGTTTTCACTTTCCATCTCTACAAGTACAGATTATCACCGTGGTCAGGTTACCCCTGGGAATACTCTTATTCACTGTTTTGGGTGGCATTTGGCTGTGCTGGTGAGAAACAATCATGCATGCCATCTTTGGAGATGAGCATTCCTGTCTCTTTTTCCAACCAAGCAATTAGACTAAAAGATAAAACACCAAAAAGAAAAATTCCAGGAAACATTTGATGGAGGTCTACCATCATGAGAATTAGGACATCAAGCAAATCACACATGTTAGAACACTGACATATTTTTTCTAGTAGCTCCATCTCCCATGCTCACCTTTCTGTGGTCTGTTGTGTGCTGGCTGCCCAGGGGATCTGACCAAAGTAACAATAGCAGCATAGACAGTCTGTACAAACCAGAGAGAAGTAATTACTGGTCATATTTACAGCTTTACTCCAACTGGTTTATTGGCTTACAATATAAATTATGATTTGCTGATACTACTATTGAAATATTGCTGAAATACTGACATACTGTTATTTAGCTTCTATTAAGGATAATCAGAGAATGAGTCAGTCTCACAAAAAATGGGAACACAGACATAAATCTGAGGTTAACCACAAATGAATGCACCCGATATTAATTTACCTGACAGTCCAGACACAGCCTCCTTTCATACTTCCTGGTTTCTTAAAGCTGTACACTTAAATGTAAAAAGAGAAGTTGACATTAGCATGCACCTGAGTGGTGGTGACATTTTCAGCTCTGATGTGAGGCTACAGTCCAGAAGCTTCAGAGAGTTAGATTCTGTCTAATCACGGTCCATCTACAGAACAGACTCAGTTTACCTTTTTAGCTTGGCATATATTCAAAGGAAACGTTGATTCTATCAAAACTGGTACCTTTTTTTCCCTACCACTTCACTCTAGAATCCATTTGAAAAAGACTTTTACCCACCTGACCCTGTGATGACCTCTTAACTTCTGGAATCTAAAAACTGCATCACCGCTGACAGCAGGTTTGAGTTGCGGTCAGAGAAAAGCTTTCACCTGTCACCCCTTACCCTATAACCTAGGCCTTCTTTGCACATTTCCTACATGAATTTTATTGACACAAATGAAATGGTCAAAAAGACCTGAGAACTGCCACTTAGCAAACACCGGGAAAACACTGAAAGGTGAATGGGGGTGGTAGATAATTAGTTGTGCTGAATATCATAGAGTTTAACCTCAGAGCACACTTTTGGATAGAATAATGCTTTTTGAAGGTCGCAGACAGTAACTTTTGATTAATTACTGCGATTCTTCCCTCAGAACGCAGGACGCCACTTCCCGTAATACACATTCACTTTACTTGCTGTGAGGATTCATTTATTATAGTTAAAGAAAAATAACAAGAAATGATAACAGTATGACAGAAAGGCCTATAGCATCATCTCCACCTACCTGTACTTTTAGTTACTGACGCGTGTATGGTGAAGTTATTTGCTGCCTCACTGTAAGCTCTAAGTAGTAGGTCCTATCAACGCGCAATCCTCATGGTCGAAACATTAATCCAGGTAGAAATGCAGGGCTTCCCTCTAGAGACCTGCTGCTGAGCCATGTAAATCAGTTAATCCGTACCAGAGTTGTGAAACAAATCCAGGCAGAGTGTAAACTCCAGACTCTAATCATCACGGTGACTCCGGTGGTTCTACTTTTACGCACAAAGCCACTGAATGACAGAAAGCTGGAAACTGACACAACCCACAGAATGCGCCCTCTGCTGCGCCCCCTGCCGCTGTGACTACGTTGTCTGACTGTGTGTGTTTGTCTCTCGTGTAAATATTGAGGTGTGCGCCTCCTTTCCAATTCCGCGAAAGGTGGTGGTGAGCTTGGATGTATTTATGTGTAAAGTGAGAGGGAAGTGGGGGGTTTATGTTCCTCTCCAAAGTCTTTTCGACACTCCTCTCGCCGTGAGCTGCAGGTAAACGATCTCCTTAAACGAGTCAAAGCTACTCCCATGTCTCTGACAGAGGTCACAAAAAGGATCTAAGTGCTGAAAAACTGAAATGCTGGTGTATTAGCTGCATTTAGCTTTTGTTCTCTAACACTGCATACGACAACGCCGCAAGGACGCCAGTAACTCATATTTGTGAGGGTTATTTTGAAATACAACTTTCAAAATATTGCTCGAGTCTTTGTAAAACTTGCAATAGTTTTAATCAGCAACAATTAAAAACAAACTCAATATATAAAATAACAAAACAGCAAAGTTAAAGGGCAGTTTTATCAAAATAATGTTTCCCCTTCTTGCCACAAATAAAATACAGCCAGGACTTATTAGATAATCTAGTTCATGCCTCTGTAACATGATCATTTTTTATCTAACTTCTACAAAATGGCATAGAGTCATTGAAGAAACTGTTCTGAAAGAAATGCAATTTGCACAGTTTTGTTTGCATGGATTTATTGTTTGGTCATCCAATAAACCAACTCATAGTGCTATATGTACAGCTTCACCTATACTGTTTCAATACTGGGAAAATGCAGAAAACCACAAAACAGTGAATTTAAACTATAATTCACAAGAATTGTCTTGATTTTTTCCAGGATGTCTCAAAGGAGCAGACTTCATTAAGTGGGATTGGTACTCAGATGCAGCCAAAGCAAATATACAAAAACTGGATAAAAGACTTTTTAGCTAAATGAAAACTGGAGGCATTTTTATATGAGGTAGATCACATGTGGAGTAACATTTGGCTTCAGGCTTGAATCACAGACATTTGCTGTTTTATTTTTGCAGAGTAAAAAAGCTCAGTGTATTGTTCTCTTCAGTCTGTTTATTTAGTTTGAAAAACAGAGCTATGCATAGCAGAGTGGTTTATACCACAGCAGCTTATTATAGCCATCCTTCATAAACATGCAGCCTTTATTATAGAGTATAGCCAACATAATCTACAAATATTGTGAAATCAGTATACCAATATGTCTGTGCAGCCTAAGTCTGTGCATAGAGATCCATCACCAGTGGCACTAGTGGCACTAGGTACCACTGCACTGCAGTATGTCTCTTTGCAGTATGGGGAGTAAAGTAAAGGGAGCTTGCCCCCACTGACTTTTCTCACTAGTGCATAGATGCTGAGACTGCTCAGGCATTTAACCTTGAAGTTTTTAAACCTTTCTTAGACAAACAATACTGTTTCAGATGATTGGCTGACAGTCTGTCTAGACAAGATTTAAAGACAGTGGACACTACTGTCTCACACAAGGTGAAAATGTACACTGTCTCTGGACAACACTCAAAAAAATTTCATGAATGTGTCTAAAGGGAGCAGTAGAATGACAAGCTATAGTAAAGCACCATCTCCCTTTATTTATTTACATTTTTTTAAGGGTTAATGTAAGTTGATCTTCGGGGGAAATTTTATTTTGCAATCTACATCTAACTCATAATTCTGAAATGCAATTGATTAACTAACAAGTCAAACCACTGTTTCAGATCATTATTTTTTGCAGCACATGGCTCACAATAAACAATACACTTGGTTCATTCCAGCAGAAACTAATAGTTGGTTCTGTGAGGTGGAACGAATTGGCAGCCAGCTCTCCAGACTGCAGAAAAATCTATCAGAGTTGAGCATATCAACACTGCAGCTTCTAAACCAGCTCTTAGGATTTTAGCTTGTCATTCACCCAAACAGAGATTATACAGATAATATTGCATGGGTTTAGTCAACTATTTTATAATAAGTACAATAATGAATTCACTCTCATTTTACTCCCCGTTTTGGGTTTACTGTGACCTTCTACGTGTGTCTACATTATAATTACACCATTACACTCATAAACAGACAACTGTAAGCTTTAAACCACAGCTGAATCAATCAAGCCTGTAGCGTGGAGGTTTAAAGTTGTCTGAGAAATCAGAGGTACACAAAGGTGGAAAGAAAGTTAGTCCATTATTTGCATTCTGAAAATGAGATTGTCTTCACAGCCTTGCAGAAATCCTCACACTGCCTCTCATTATCCAAGCTCTTCTTGGCTGATGGCCACTGTGCATTGGCAGCTGAGACGTACAGTGCTGCTGTTGTGACAGAAAAAAAGTGCATTGATTTATTGTGAGCAAGGATCCAAGTGCTCAGTTTTCAGGCGTAGATAAAAACTATTTTGATGATCTACTGTAGCCAGTGCTAACTGAAATAAATTGAAAACCTTATGCTTTAATCACCCACTTTAAGTATTACAGCTATTGATTACTATCATGTAACCAGACTAATCCTTGCTGCAAACTCAGCAACTCTAATTGAAAAAAGAACTATATATATTTTAATATTCAGACATAATAAAATTGCATTTAATACACATTGCACATTTAATACAAATGTCAGTGTAACGTCCTATGATAAACAAATATGTATTTAATTTGTGCCGCAGATTGATTGACAGTTATTTCTCACCAAGACATATGGAGCACATATTCATGTGTGTAGCTTTCTAGACTGGATGGAGCTCAGGAAATACTAAAAGGTCTGGACTTCTCTCCAGCGATGAGACATTGCTCTCATTTTGTGGCTCTGCATCTGTTTGCTGTCAATGTCACAAAGTTCTGTCAGTCCTTTGGGACTAGACTTTTCTTGCAGTGTTGACACCTGTAGTCTCACAAACTGACAAAATATAACAACAGTGCATTGCTGATAGGCAGCAATGTTGTGCATCAGACGTGTTCAAAGTAAACAAGTTGTCGCTTTCTGATAGCAGACATTTGCACTGAGAGCTTTCCTGTCAAAGCAGAACAATGAGCCTTCATATGAAATCATCATGGGACAGTTGCCCCAAAAACAACACATTATACCGTGTTTCTTTTTATACAACAACTGCGATGTTCTGGTTCTTAGATTTAACTGCTCTATTAGAACAGATGCTGAACTATACTCTGTAGCATGGGCAGAAGATTGTTGTGGGAGAAAAGTAAATATGAATGTCACTCACATTACTTTTTTTACCAGGAAATAGCCACCGGGCACGGATGTTCTTGCCTTCTTCAAGTCAAATGCCCCAAGAAAGGCACTGATCTCCAGTGAGGTGGATGACATATGACAACACGACCCATCAGCTTGTGTGGGGCTGTTTGACACTCGTGGTGTTACTCCTCTGGCTTGGTGCCATTCCCTGCTGACTGTCAGATTAAATAAGGGTTAAGCATTTTTTGTAGGGTTAAAGAGCAGGTGGTGGGAAACAGGTGAAGCCTCTACACCTTCGGGGACATTCCAGTCTTAGTTCACGCTACCTTCCTAGTTTTTGGACCTCCTAGCATGAATGTAGAGCCTTCGCCTTCTGAAATACCAATGGCTTGTGACTGACTTTCAAAGTGAGAATGGCATATTTTAAGAAATGATCTAACTGGATGACCTAGCCCCTTCACTGCAGTAGAAACATTTATCAGAAAAATAATTAGGCATACTATGCAGACAATCTCAGTGTTAATGCAGAATTGTTTAATACTAAGCACAATACAGAAATTCAGTGGTAAACAAAGAAAAGACCTTGTCCTTGTTTGTGCCCTTGCATTTATGTCCGCAGGAAGAAATGAGAGAGCAATGGATGAGACAGGCTTTAAGACAGAAAAATCATTCTAGTCTCAAGAAAAGAGACACTGGTCATTTTCAGCTGATGATATTAATGGTGTAGAAGGGTCATTCAGATGGCTTTTAAAGTGCAGACAATGCTCCCTAGGGGCAACAATGCACATTGAGTCACTAAGTCTCTTTAACATTCTTCAAGTATTATTTACCTTCAAGCTCTGAAGAATCAAACTGTGGGTTTTTAGTGAAAAATCTACATTCAGACAATTTCTTCAGACACCTATAAAATAGTCTACGTACATTTCAAGCAGAAGCTTCCAACAGACTAAGGAAATACACCCTTGTGTTTCCAAATGCATTAAAACTGATAAAGTGATTATGTGTTATCCATTTTGAAATTAAAGGACGAAGATGCCCAAGAAAGCTCTGTCCACGTGTGCATGTATGTTGCCTAACAGTGAACCTTTGGTCCTTTTCACTTGGTCTCAGAGAGCTTTGCCAGGCTGGCTTGGCGGAAGGTCGCTTGGTCCCTCATCTCCAAGACACAGTCTCTCACCATCTCTGCAAACATGGAAGGCCAGAGCTTGTGTAAAGCCTCGCCCTTCAGGTTGGTGTCTGATGCACTTTGGACCAACTCCTGTAGGTACTGCTCTACCATAGTAGCACGCTCTGACGACTCCACACTGCCCTCCTGTGAAAGGAAAGAGAGCTCATTGTTATTGATTCTGTTTTTCTATGGCATGGGAACATGTGAAACCATTGAGATTGTCTATTTTCTCTATGAACTGCTCACAATGGGCTGAAAAATATAATAAGTACACAAACTTCAGATAATAACACACAGACAGTAATAATCCTACATGTCTTTATTAAACACACCCATAATACAATCATAGTGCAAAAGTGAAACCTTAGATTCTTAGTTCACAAGGAAAATTTGCACTATTCGGATCGGATCAATTCTAATGATCTCTGGTGCAAAAAGCTTTCTTGACACTTTCTACTGCTGCAACAACCAACATCTACTAAACTTTGTTTCAAGGACAGCTAACGACATATTATCCTGTAAGACACACTAATAAAAGATGGGAAGTCTAGAAAAACAAAGCAGCTTATAAATGACATAAAAAGTTGTTTTGTTTTTTCCTTTAAAGTTATCAAAATTCACCTGGCCTTATGCGAAAAAAGCTATTGCTCAAAAAACTGTTTGGCTCAAAAAACAAATTCAAAAACAAATTTAAGGTTTTGGAGTGCCTGAATCACAGTCCACACTTAAATCCTACTGACACACTTTGACATGAACTTAAACAGGCCACTCATGCTTGAAAACCCTTCAATGTGGTTGAATTGAAACAATTCTGCAAAGACGAGTTGGCAAAAATTCCTCCACAGTTTTTTTTCACATGGAGGTAGGTAGGTTTGGATAACTTTTTTCCCCTCAATAAATGAAATCATCTCTTAAAAGTGCACTTTATATTTTCTGGAATCATCTTTGTCTAACATTAAAATGTGCATAATGATCTGAAACATGTAATTGTAACAAATTTTCAAAAAAGGAAAAAATCACTAAGAGGGCAAATTCTTTTTCACAGCACTGTGGTTGAGCAGACAACTAATATGCCGAAGGCTATGCTTCTCTCTGCTGTGCCCTGTGTTTGAGTCTACTTCAGAGTATTTCCTGCAAGTCACTCTCACTCTCTCTCTTCATTTTACGGTCTACCCTACGCTGTGTGTAATAAAGATCTTTCTTCATTGAGAATGCCATGCTTCACTGTTGGAGATGTTAAGATGATAGTTTACTCCCATTCCTCTATTCCACTAAGCTGTTTCTTGAGTCAACATTCAAATGATTTCCATACTTATCTAAACATACGTATAGACTATGAACAGAACAACATAATTTGCATGTTTGCGTTACAAATTCTAATACATTTGGTTTGTTCATTTTTCTATCTTATAAATACATTTGTTTTTCAAACAGAAATGATAGGAGTGTCTTAGATTAGTGGAAACAGAGGTCTTACATATCGCAGTACGCTTTTGTTAAACATACAACTAAATTATAAAGTCAATGCTGGTGTTGATGTTATAATGAAATTGGGTAAAAAGCCTTGATCTAACTTTAAAAGAGAGGTGAAAGAGGTGACCTGAACATGGGGCAGAAAAGCAAGAGTACTGTCATGCCAAAACAGGTACTGATGCCTGATCTGCACAAACATGTCAGATGCTCCACTCTGTCCTCAGTAAAAGGAGGTTAAATTGCACCCAAATAAAGCAGGATGAAACTGCATTAGTGCAAGTGCCAGTTACTAAGAGGCTACAGTAGCTAGAGGCTTAGGCTTCTCCAATGTGCTGTTATCCCAAGTTCACTGTATTTATTGTTGCTGAATTTAAGAGAAAATAGAAATTTGAGTAATATTAAGTAATCCCAAGTGGAACCATGTTAACTGTATCTGGTTGAGGAAAGTAATTTTAAGATTTCAGAAATTGCTGTTTTTTCTTCGGCTTATAATGTGTGCTTTATAAGCTATGCCATCCAATGCAAAGTTTCTGCAAAGCAACACTGGTGGTATTAGTTGCACTTGTTAGTGAAACCTTTAGCAATGATGATGATAAAACAGCATGCACAATATCTTTTATTGCTATAATAGTTGAAAACCAACTTTCAGTCCATCTCACCCATACTGCTCACTCCTGCTTTATCTGACTTAATCAATGCCATAACTGTTGTAACAGAGGCCTGCTTTGTTCTCTGAATATAAATGACTGCAGATCAAGATACAAGTTCCACAGTACAGTAGTCCTGCATGAATTAGAAAGGACTGATGTCAAATACTGATTCCTGTTCGATGGTGCATTAATGACCTGTGTGTTATTTGTATGAATGACACCAGAAGCTGACTCCTGTTCAAGTCATTGTTTGTATTTTCTCTTAACCTTCTTTTGAAGATGAAGTACAGTCAGCACTATAAATAAGAACTAACCTCAGGGCTCTCTGCACTGCAGTCTCTGCTTGGATAGTTAAACAATGCTCTGCTCAGGCCTTCTCCCAGGAGTTTCCCATTATCACGCAGCTCCTCTGGACTTAGTCCTGCCCGCCGGCCACGCCCCTCCAACAGGAACTGCAACTGCCGCTTCCTTCAGGGTGAAGAAAGACAAGAAAGAAGAGTAAGTCAGATATAGACTGAAAAAACACAAAGACACCTGGGGAGAAACAGTGGCTGCAAGTGAGTGGCACCACTATAATAAAGGCATGTTTTTGTATCCATCAAATGGCACTATCTCAACTTAATACTGTGAAAACAGTTTCTTGAGAAATAAGGGAAAGGGCTCACTTAAGAAGTCGTCAGAAATGACAGCATTTAAACAAACACTGACAGTTCAGAAAGGTCAGTAACACTCAGATACTTTGAACAAAAAAACACCATAATGGATTAAATCCAAGCAAACAGGCAAACAATATGTAAAATGTTAATAGTCTTTTTGAACTATTTCCATAAATATTTTAATGTCTTTAACACAGAGAGGTACAATACACTTATTAAAGCAGTACAGCGCTCTAACATAAACTACATCAAATGTTGCTGTCTATCAAAAGTAAATGTCATGTGATACACTACTGCACCAACATGTACCACAGGTCAGTGCCAGGATGCTGAAACTGTCTTTTCAGAGGAAGCTGGAGGCAAACATTCCTTTTAAGATAAGACAGTTTGTAGAGTGTGTGAATGCATGTGTATGCCAAAACACATCAGTGTGTGTCATTCACACATTATAATGACTAACACAATAATACAGATGCGTGGAAGTTAGATCTGATAAAAAAATTTTAAAAATTAAAAAAAAAACTTGAAACAACACCTTGGGTTTGATATATGATCCCACAGTTTCAGCCTGAATTTTACAAACACAATGCAGATGGCATCTGTTTAATGCTGAGGAATTTAATTGTATTTTGTCCATCAGAGACCTTAAGCAATATAGCAAGCATGCCCAGTTACAGCATTAGTTTCCCTTTGATGTCTTCACCACTCAGACTGAAGTTAAAGAACCCTGACAGGTGTGGGTGGGGGAGGTAACTTAACTTAACCTAACTGATTAAAGGTAGATAGATCAATAAATGGGCCATTCTCTCTCTCAGCTTGTTCACAGTGCATCAGTTCTTTATTACTATATTTTATACTTTATATTATTATACTCTATACTTTATTACGATATTCTATTATCTTTATTACTTATCCAGATAAATGACATTATAACTCTCTTTTTCAAGAAATGGCCACGAGGATATTACAACCATTATAAACGCATACAAACACAAATACAACTGTCACACACTACAAATGAGTGAAAATGAACAGTTGTTGAAAGCAGAGAATACACACTACTGAATCTTGCACATGTAACTTTATACTGAGAGGAAGTATGAAATATGCTTAATGCAGGTATAACACATGCTATATGAGAAGGAGAAGCAAGGGACAGAGAGAGGACATTAGCATTTTATAAATGATTTTATAAATGAAAAAAATATATATTATTGATTGGTGATAGCAATCTCTGTTCTGGTCCATTAAAGGACTATTCACATCTATTACAGGAAAGACAAGAAGCACAGATTTTGTATGAAATTAAGGCAATTAAATGATTAGATAAGTAAGCGATGACTATAGACTGACTCAATGCCGAATTTTAGAGGAGCTCGTGTGCACAGAAAAATCAGATAGCTAATATATGCAATATAAACAGCATCACATGTGTTTCCAGTGTCAGC